TTCAACAGCCCCAAAGGACAACACAGTTAAAGGATCATGGGACTTAGTAAGTAGGGTTATAATTAAGGTAACTATACTTATAACCCCAATTAAGGGGACTTATAACCTTACTTACTAAGTCCCATGATCGTCCAAGTATAGCCCATATTCAGAGCTTCCCAGCCATTCCCGGCCCCGAACGTCACATGTGCGAGTTGCTGCAGGCGCATAGACCCTAAACCCTAATCCCTGGACTCTGAACCCTACCCTAAACCTCCAACTTGGATGGGGTCTTCAGCTCAGGTGTCAGAGTTTCGCGTTTCAGGGTTCAGGGTGTTGGGGCTTTGGCTTCAGGGCGTTTGGGGCTTTAGAGACAACAGGGCTGCAGGGTGCTACCGAGATCGGTTGCAGAATCCAAGGAATCTGGCTGATCGACCAGCAAGTGTTGCAGCCCATCTGGTTTAGGGTTCAAGGTTTAGGGTTTTCGGGTTCCGACCCCGAACCTCCCGCGGCATGCAAGGCTACCATTGCAAACCAAAGTAAGCCCACACGAGCTCTTTGGCCGTTGAAGCTGAATCTGAATATTGTCAACGTCTCCTAATCTAGGTGGCAATTTGGGAAACTTTAAAACTTTTCAAAAGAGGTACCTAGTCATAAATACTTTTCAAGGCCCCCAAACTATAACCCAGTAACTGGATGCTTTGAAGTTGTAGGCTTCGGCGTGTTGGGTGCGGAACTGCTTTCAGAAATGCGGTCAGCACTCACCTGCACCCTGGATTGTAGTACCTTTTTTGGATAACCCACTACATGGTTGGGCTGGCTAGGATCCTAAAATGAGAAGTAAGGAAGCCCCCCAAAAAGCTTCATTTTCGGGTCCAGGCAGGAGTTTGATTCTTCGTAGGTCCTAGAATGAGTTAAAGAGTGGTAACCCCAGAAGTGCAACACTTCAGGGCGTTTAGGGTCTAGGTAGGAGTCTCTTACAGGGGTCTTTGGGAAATTTTCAAACTTCGGTTACGATAATCCCGAAGCAACAGCGGACATTTGTTTTTTTGCAAGTGTACCCTAAACCCTAAACCATAAACCGTAGTCTAGGTAGGAGCATTCTGCCATACAAGCTTCGACATAAGGCCGCTATCCTTCGGGTTTGCGGTTCTAAAGTTTTGTGCTTGGGGTTTAGGAGATTGGGTCTTGGGGTTGAGGGTTTGCGGTTTCAGGAGGATTCTACGTTTGGGGTTGCGGGGTTTAGGGCTTTAGGGTTTTAGGGTTTAGAGTTTCAGGATTTTGTGTTTGGGGTTTAAGGGCTTGGGGTTGAGGGTTTGAGGGTTCAGGAGGATTCTACGTTTAGGGTTAAGGGGTTTACCTCAAGACCTTTCTTCCCGGCTTTTGGGTTAAGGATGTGCGTCTAGGGCTCACGGTTTACATCTTCCGACTAGCATTTATGGTTCAGTACACCCTAAAGCGTATTGGGGCTTAAACCAGCGACCACATCTGACTTGTTGCGGGTCGCTTCCGTAGTGGAATGAACGGGGTGCATTGCACATTTACAAGTTATAAAGTCCCCAATTCAACAAGTTCTGCTTGGGGGTCAACCAGAAACTCACGCCTCACAACCCAAAAGCCCATGAACAGAAAGAGAAACCCAAACCCTAAACCCTAAGCTTCAATCACCTCCAACATTTCTCGGACCCTCCAAAGCCGGGCTTTCGCAGATCTCCGGTTACTCTCTCTCTCTCTCTATATATATATATATATATCAGGCTTTTAGGATGGATCCTACAGTTCATGATATAAATCCTGCATTACCTTATAAGGACCCTAAACTATAGGAATTATGGTATATTCCTTACTATGGGTAATGCAGGAGTTATATCATCAACCGTCGTAGGTTTAGGGTTCAGGCCTTTGAAGGTAGGCCGTCACCCAGGTGATGTCGAGGACAATCGTGAAGGACACGGTGGGTGACGGCAGTGCTGGTGCTGGCTCGGACAAGAAAGACCCGCGGCATGTTTGCACGTGGATAACACATCCTAGCCCGTTGGAACGTAAACTGCCTGAACGCAAACACTGCAGCCCTAAAACATAGGCGCAGGCAAGACCCAAAACCTTAACTCCTAAACCCTTCACAGTTTCCGAGGTTGGATGACTCGGCCGAGTGGTCTGACGGCGAGCCCAGTGATGATGAGACGGAGCAAGAGAAGAAAGAAAGGACGGCTTCATGGCAGCATGGATAACGGGTTTAGGGTTTAGGGTGTGGGCAAGAATTATATGTAGGGCTTCTACTAGCGATGTTATGGTGGATGTATATAGGACTGCTTTCGAATGTTGATGAGTTTATATGCTGTCGTCCCTAAACCCTAAACCTTATGTACTCCATATGGGGAATGGCTCAGGGTTTAGGGAAACAGGATGCCTTCGAACGGCTCCAGGTGGAAACGCTTGAATTCCCTCCGCCCTAAACAAAAGCCTTAGCCCGTCACTATGTCTGGGTCCTCGTCGGCTACAAGTTTTCATTTTTTTAAATAAAACCCGATAAAGACTTGAAAATGATCATTTTCAAACAAAGGCCCAACACAGAACCAGATGTACCAGTCCCCTAAACCCTAGACCTTAACACCACCCAATAAAGATAAAGCTACAGATAAGAGTTAAACTTCGCCGGCCCCCAATGACCTGCATAACCAGTCATGATTCAAACTATAGTTCAGGTAATCGTCTGGAGCGCCCTCTTTTTTCGCAGAGAATCTTCCCTAAAGACCACGGGCTACGTGGAGCGTAGTACACTTAAAATGCTGTAAAGCTTTCATACGGCCCTGCGCAACTTGAAAAGCTTAGTAACCTCTAATTAGGATACTGGACAAGTGTGTCAGCCCCAAACCGTAAACCCTAAAACCCTAAAACCCTAAAGCCGATGCCTTAGAACCCTAAAGCCCCGAACCCCTAGAGCCTAAACCCTAAAACCCTAAACCCTAAAACCCTAAACCCTAAACCCTAAAGCCTAAAACTCTAATACTCAAGGCCTTAAGAACCCAAGGTCTGGGAGCGGTCGCAGAAGGAGGGCGAGCAGTACTTGCCCAAGCGGCTTCTGAAAGGCCTTGTGTGGGTTCTTCGGTTTAGGGGTTTTGGGGTTTGGGGGTTTAGGGTTTAGGGGTTTAGGGTTTTGGGGTTTAGGGTTTAGGCTTTTGGGTTTAGGGTGGGCTTTGAGGGCGCACTCTTGCTTTACCCTGTGTACAACCCTGTGTACATCATTATCGATGCACACAGATGTGCAGATACATGCATTTGTTCATACATACAGACATACAGACAGACAGATATAATGCATACCGACAGCCAGAAAAACAAAGAGACAGACAGACATCAGATCCATCCTTGCATGAATGCATCCATTCGCGGATCCATCGATCCATGCATCAATCCGCTCTCCATGAACACCTTGTACACATCATGATTATCCGTTGGTCCATCCATCCACACATTCAAACGATGAGCCAGCTTCTCCTGAAGCCCAGCCTCTTTCCTGCGTTGCAGGCTTGCTTCCAGAAGGACTCCTGCAGAAGTACTTCATCTACCAGCAGAACGAATCGCCGTGGCGCGCCGTCCGGGGCTATCCCAAGACACCGGAGGGTGACTTTGATCCCCCAGTACTTTACCTTTTGTTTACTTGGGGCCTCCCTTTGCAGGTGGGGTAAGGATAGGGGCCCAGAACCACACCCCTACACCAAACCCGAAGCCTGAAACCCTAGCGTAAACCCCTATACCCTGGACCTCCTAGGTGAAGAAGACAGAGAGCCCGATCACCACCTGGAGATCAAGCTGGTCAAAGTTGGAAAGGCACTGTAACGTTTAAACAGTTTTGAGGGGTTGGGCATGAAGGTTCAATAGTGGGTAAGAGAGTTTAGTGTTTTGGATCTATACGGTAGTGTCAAGTCGATGTTCGTTGTTCCGGATTGATGTTTCTTGCTTCACGGGGACTGTTTCTCCAATGCGGCTTCATTAAGATGTCTTTTCTATATATATACACACACACATATATATATATATACATACATACATACAAGTATATATATATATACACATGTATGCAACTAACTACAGAGGTCGATAGCATTGTCATTCTTAAAATAATTTGTGATCGCCCGGTCGACCTGTCAACATGTGTAGCTTCGTTGTGTTGCCCAAAGGAGCTTGGTAGGATCCGACCCTTAACTCTGATAAACCACGGGTTTAGGGTTTAGGGTTTAGGGTTAATGGCTACGGCTCAAGGGTTTGGGCTCGAGGTTTCAGGTTGA